GCTGCAGATTCCAAATAATCATAGCCTTTTGAAAGATCAAGGTGCAGGGTGATTACTGAAGTAATCCGTCAGTATGTGGCAGTTTTAGTAAACCGTTGTCTGTCGCTAACAATCAATCCCAAGTTAATGTCTTCAACTTCTTTCGTATATTGTATGTGTTCCTTGAGATGGTTGTCGAATTTCGTCATTGTAAACAACGTCAAATGTAAAGTAAGGAGTTAGTACACGTAGCGTAACAGAGGCAATAAAGGTCCTGCTCAGATTGTTAGTAACTAGCTACTCTTTTACGCGAATTGAATGAACTTGTTTGAATAATATTTTTTTGCCAAAGCAAGGTTTGGTTGCCAGTGTTCTCTTGTCATTTTAAATATTTAAGGTGGCACTAACTAATGTATTGACACAATTTTACACACTAACCTTCACTTGTCATCTTTCCACAAAGTGGTGCATAACGTCTCAACGAGTAGCCCGTGGAATGATATGTTTTGGGTCCGAGGAAATTGTTACTTTTTCAGTAAAGGCTTGGGGCCTTTTTTAGAACATTTCTTAATTAAGTTGGTATGTTTAGATTTTTCTTGAAAGTACCGTTTCTCTTATGGTGCCACCTTAAACTGTTAAAAATATCTACTTTATGGTACTAATGACTGCAGCTTGCACGAAGGGTAAAGCTCAAGAACTAAAGTCATGCGTAACTGATTTGTGTTTTTTAGATGGTTGTAAAGCGAAAAGATTGCCAATCAGACGAGGTTGTTGGATCTACCCTTTCTCGTCGAGACTGTCAAGTTAAATTCGTTCAGTGGGATGATCACCCATGCTTAAAATCTTTTGTTTAATTTTGTTTGATCTTACTTTCGTTTCTGTTTTGTTTTTCTTCTTAAGAATGAAAAATATTAACTTTGTGTAGAGCTGCAACATCAGTACCACGGCAAATCTCTTATTTATAAGAAATATATTCTGTCTTATCTTTGCCGAGTTTCTTCTAGACTCGGTGATTCCATTTTGTCCTCCTTTCTTCTGACTTTATTCCATGTTTCCTGTAAACAGAAATAGCAGAAGATTTACTCCTCATTCGGCTAATTGTTTTGAAGTTTTAAAAGGAACACGAATGAAATTAACTTCAGGCGCGAATGGTATCTCAGGCCAAAAAAATGAGGTCCTGGGTGGTAACAAAGTGTACAATCTATTTTAGAAACTTTTAGACAAGACTAATGGGAAATTTTCCGACGCACTTCCTCTGTGTGTTTAGAAAAGCAAACACATCAAACACACGTGGCAGCGTTGCACTTGATATGTACACGACTCAATGTTTTTCTATACAATATTTAGAGACTTGATTAAAGGTATTTTCACCCAAAATATAACATAGTTTTTGTTGTAACTTTAGAACAGAGTTTGTTGGTTTTGAATTACGAACGAATTAAGGCGAAGCTTCAAGCGACTTCAAGCGACTCGAGAGCGCACGTGTTCAGAGAGTTTGGTGATTTCGACCGCAGTAAGGGGAATAAAATTAAACCAACAATTTATACGAGAACGAAACTCACTTTTGAGTGTAACAAGGTTGAGTTATGCCTCCAGCTTTCTGACATCAAGCAAACTTTTGGTTAAACTCAGTTCTTGCTCAGTACCGTGTCTTCACTCGTTCACAGCCGGGTTGGTTTGGCGCAAATTCTGCAGTAGACCATGAATATGGATTAGGAAAATAAACCAATCACTGTCGAATACGTCATAAACTTGTTGGTTTACACGCCCTGTAGCATGCAAATGAAACCCGAGGTAAATTAAAATCGACTAACATGTTGTTATCGGTGTAAAGCCCACATTAAAAAAAATGTAAAAACTGATTCCAATCAGAAATGAAACGCTTCGGGAAAGTTAGAGAGGATAATAATATTGCATAATCAAATACTGAAAATTTCAAGACGATATCAAGGAGTAATGGGAAAATGAAAGAATAAACTTAGGGGAAATACTTTTGGTGCAAAAAAAATATCGAGGTACTCTGCCATACAGAAAACCGAGGCAACTGGAAATTACGCATTTCCCGACTTGAAAATTGTTACACAGAGCAAGAACTGGTTATTTTGCTACTTCTTCAGCCCTTCACACCCTTGCATCAGAATGCATATTCTCCTTACTATTCTCTGTACATTTCCTGAAGTGCTGAAAAGGAGAATTTGTTTAACAATCAAGAGCTTCTATGGTCGGCGATCAATTCCTTTATTCTCGGGACCTTAGTGTGTGATTCAGAGGTGATATCACAAGAAGATATTAGATGCTAGTCAATCTTAAGGTCAGAAAGGTAAAGAAACTATATTCAGAAGATAGAAAGAAGTAGAAAGAACAAAGAAAAATTTTCCCGACAAAAAAATTTTAATGACAATAGTTCCTGAGCACTTGATTCATAGAGTAAAACAACGCTTTAAAGTTTAGATTTTGGTATATACGCCATGGCTGAATGCCACATACCTAGATTTTCCTTCCTCTAAAGCTATAGATGTATCCCATAATATTGCAAACTAATGTTTACGTCCCTTGACCAAAAAAATGTTTTGAAATCGTGACATACGTTAAAAAAAAATCAAGGGGATGTTGAAAACGGTATATGGAATTGTTACTGTTGGAGCATATTAAAATGACCACCAGATTAGCTTTTCCCTTTTTCCTTTTGTCTCCCCACTCCGTCTCCCTCTTGATATGAAGAGAGGATAGGCACATAGCACAAAACAGAACGAGAAGGAAAGGGGTAAACTTGAAAAGACTATATAACAAAGCTTCTCCAGAATGTTTATAAACTGGCTATAAAACAAAAAAAGTTAGAAACAACTCACAAAAAGGGTTAAAAAATAATAATAAACTAAAAGACGGCAAGTTCCCCGGAACAGGATCTCCATCCTGACTGGGACCGCTTTCGCGGTACAATGCTCTACCCACTGAGCTGCGGGGAACTTGCCATGATTGGAGAGTAAATTTAAAGATTATATGTAACAAGTGGGTACGTTGTGTAAGGAACAAGTGCAAAGATTCTAAGGAAAAAGCGTTTTGACTCTAAAATAACGTCACTATGAAAACTTTGTTGTTTGATTTAATAATGTTTAAACTTAGTATTGTTCCGATATATGTCCTCAACGCAGAAGTGTAGGAAAAGGGTAAACTGACCAATAAGTAAAGGAAAACCTTCGGCAATCTAATGAAGTGAAAAGGCGAGTATACAAAGACAGTCCAGACCATTTATGACCTTGGTCACAGAATAAAATGGGAAATGGAACAATCATCTAGAGAAAAAAAAACAAATCATCGAAAAAAAAAAAGATAAAAAAGAAATCGAACAAAAAAAAAAAAAAAACGGCAAGTTCCCCGGTACAGGATCTCCATCCTGACTGGGACCGCTTTCGCGGTACAATGCTCTACCCACTGAGCTGCGGGGAACTTGCCATGAATGGAGAGCAAATTTTAATAACGTTATATGTCACAAGTGGAGAACGTACAAGAAACAAGCGCAAAAAGAGTCTGTGTAAAACTAAGTGTTCTCACTATAATAATTATAAGCTTGGTCACAGTACAAAATAGGAAAAGGAACAAATCATCGGAAAAAATAGATGAAAAAACAAAACAAAACAAAAAATCGGCAAGCTCCTCGAAACGGGATCTCCATGATTGGGACCGCTTTCTTGGTACAATACTCTATCCACTGAGCTGCGGCGAAATTTGCCATAAAAGGAGAGCAAGTTTTAAGATCATTTGTAACAAGTGTATCTATTGCAAGGAACAAAAGCTTAAATATTCCGTGGAAAACTGAGTGTTGAAAACCTTTGTGAAAATCTTTGTTATTTGAACTAATAATTAATATTCAAATTTAGCAGCGTCCCGATGCATACCCTGGATTTAAGAGTTTAGAAAAAGGGTAAACTTGTCAATAGGTGGAAGGGAACCTTTTCAAATGTAATGAAATGAAAAAAACGAGTATACAGCGACACTCAAGGCTATTTATAAGCTTGGTCACAATATAAAATGGAAAGGGGGAACAAAACCTCTCAAGCCACCAACTTAGCGAGTTCTCCTTGGCAAACGTAGTAACTAGAATACAGGCAAGAATCATATTTTTGATCTGCTTATTGATTTTGCCAAAAAAAAAGGAAATTAAAAGAAAGCAAGGAAGATTTCGGTGAGGGGAAAGTTTGGAAAATATGTGGATGAGAGGGGTATAGTGTAGGAGAGGACCTTTTCAATAACGATGGCGGGATGCGGAAGAGAAATGCAATAATACATTAATCATCAATTAACGGTGGTTAGTAATAAAAGGCGGGAAACGGAAATCAAAGCTGCTGGAGGCGTTAGCGCCTAACACCCACCCATTCCCCCACCATATCCTTCTCGTTCTTGAAACACCCCACGAGAGTGTGTGTAGTTCTTTACGGTACTTGTTTGCGTGACGATTTCCGCTCGCATTTGCAAATGAGTGTAGAGAGTCAGGTGTAGACTTTCCAACCAATCATTGATAGAAAAAAGTATGATATCTGAAATAATTACATCTAATTAACACCGTATTTGAAAGAAGAGAATCCAGTCGATAATACCACGGAAAATTTCATCTTAGCTGCTCTTCAGTGTTGGAGTCTTTTAAGGACATTTCTCGAGGAAATAGAAGGTTGAGAACCTGTCACGTTATCTTTATAAATCCTGCATAATCAGGTAACGTTTAGGTAGATACCAAGATATAAATACGATGGGTTTTCATTTATGTGCAAAGAGGCTGTGTTTGAGCTCTAGTATCATATTCTATGCATGATGTTGTACTATGTAGCGCAGACTTAACTTAGAAAAAGTTCAGTTATCATGAATGAGTCCGACAAAACATGGAAATTGCTAAGTCGCTGGCAAATTTGTGTATGGTTGGATTGTGTCTTCAAAATACTCAATTACTAAATTTCGCCTGCTGTGCTTTCTTGATCGAGCCAGCCTCGACCGAGACATATGCATTTGCTCCAAAAGCTTCATGGAAACTAACTTTCTTGCGGGAAAACGTTTGATGCGGAGACCGTTAGGTAAACCATAGAAACCAAACTTGTTGTTATGGACGCCCTCATATTTACACCATGTTGTGTGCATCAGCTGAAACATTTAACAACGGTTATCTAAGTGATCCTGTCTAGATCGTTCTTTTTTTATGGATGAGATATAAAAATGTCAGGAAAAGGTCGAAAGGAGACAAGATTTTCTTTAAAACGAAAAAGGAGGTACGTCCATTAAGACGAAGAATTAAAGGTAATCTTTGTAATCTTTTATGGTGTTCAAAGCGGATCTCTTTTCAATCGAAAATCAATATCATGTATTTTTGAGTGAATCGATACTAGGAAATGTTCAGCATGGTTTCCTTAGACGACTTAGACATCGACTTTATTGCGAAAAATGGCGTTTTTATCGAAGTTTACGAGGAAGAAAGAGCTTAAAATATTTTAACAGCTTGTCGACTTTCATTTTCTAATTATGCAAATTAGTCTTAGCAACATGCTTATCCAGGGGTATAAGACTGAAACAAAAGCAGACATAACAAAACAACAATTATCTTTCAGGATTAGCGTTAGCTGCGTTATGCGGTATAATTTTTGAGGGAGGGAGAGAAAGATTGTTTAAGGACGCACAGTTTTTGACCTTCATGGGCCAGTTCTTGAATTGCGGAAATGAGTATAATTGATAAGCTTTCCTTTCTTGGTTGAACGATATTAACGGTTTCAAAGATAACTTGGTAAAACTGTCCGCTAGCTCAACGGACAACTATGTTTTCTATGCTTATGAATTTGAAGAATTAAAAGCTTTCAGAGACCTAAATCTTTTCCTTTTATGGCATCGTACTTCGAGTCTTTGTTTAAATTATTCATCACTTGTAGATATGTTGTTGTTATTTTTTAATTCAGCTTATTCACGCCGAACAGTGACTTTCCCACTGAAACATAAACTACCCATTTCCTGTGGGACTGATATCAGATATTCAATACACACAATCCAATAACGCCCTTCCCCTATATTTTCAGAAAACACTCAGTAGCCATGGGAAAGCACCACATAATGCTGTCTTACCAGTGGAACAAACAGGATCTGGTGGAAAAAGTGTATCACGGCCTACGTGAACACGGGATAGATGCTTGGATGGATACTCACGGTGGAGTCACGGGGAACATTAATGACAGGTGCGCATGCGCTACGCATTTACTTATTGCCTCATGTTTGTCTTTTCTGTTTTACCATATAATATATTATTGAAGTGTTATTAAAGGGCAACTTTTTTATCAACAATCTAAAGCATGTTATTCGAATGCAGTTGTGCTTTCAGTGAGCGACTGACTTCGAAACAACTGTTCACTGGTCATCCGTCCGTTGACATAATCAGTTCATTAAATTGATTTTACTGTTAACCGTATGCCTTACCTGCGATCAGATGCTATGTTTCCATAGTCCATAATCCTTGCCGAAAACAAAATGCTTATTTGATTTCACTATTTCTAGCATGGCCAAGGGAGTGGATGGAGCGGCCGTCGTCTGCTGTTTCATGTCAGCGGATTATTTCGTAAGTTTAGGATTTTAAGTACAACTAACTCGGACAAAGCTGATAATTTTCTTACCTAGATTTTGATAACTGATCCCTCACGAAACGATTGACTCAACAGCCGGACCAGACTGTCAAATTTCTGGGGGGGGAGGAGGGGGAGGGGGAGGAGAAATTTTAAAAAGCCTATCATGTTTGAATACAGTTCTCTTTTGTCCATTTTAGGGCTCAAAGAACTGCAAAAAGGAATTGAATTACGCAGACGCTCAATCAAGAGCCATTGTCCCTGTGATGTGCGAGAAAGGGTTTAAAGCGACAGGCTGGTTAGGTGTTATCACTGCTGGGCTTCTGTGGGTCGACTTTAGGTAAATAAGCCACTTCTTATTCGATAGGAGCTCGCTTATTGACATTGTATCAAAAAGGTTTCGTGTTTCACTCTGCTTGTCATATCATGTTGTTGAGGGCCTCATCATGAATGAATGCAGTACATTTTCTTTCATTCCTGTGCGAGGTGTCCACGCGGTAATGTACAGCCCTGTCTTCTCGAATCAAATCTTTTGCGCCTGTGCGAGATAACTGCTTCCTTTACGGTCGATTTCTCTCAGACTGTTCTTTTAAGGCTTCTTCGCCTTCATTTGAGTGATTGCTTTTTTGTCTTAATAATAGGGAGGGAACTGTATTCAAGAATTCACTCGAGTCCCTAGTTAAGGAGATAATTAATTCCCTGGAGTCTGTGCCCGTAGATGATATCAAGCTGAATCCCTCGGAGAAGCCAAAAGCACCTGTCGCGAATGCTCCAAAAATCGAGATAAAAAAGAAACCTGGACGAGCCTTCCAACACAAACTCACTGGAAAATTCTTGGCGGAGTCAGGTACAAAATCTCATTTTATGAGAATTGACTCGTAGTGACAAGTTAACCCTAGGAGTTCTTCAAATAACGTTCTCTGATGACCATAAGAATATTCAGTTTGATGTTCTGAGTTCGGATGTTCTCTTTCAATCCAGGCCAGGTGAAGTTTCACCCAGCAAGTGGCAACCGCAGCACTTTGGTTATGAGAGACCGAGCTGAGGATACAAGCTACTGGGTCGAGGAAAAGCAGCCCAAGTCAGAGATTCATTTCTTCAAAAATTACGCTACCAATGGATATCTAGGTTAGTGCCATAGAAACAGGTATGTAAGATTGGTGTGGAAAACGAAAGACGTTCTTCGAATTTAGGCTGCATGAGGCAGTAGAAAAGGTGGTTTTATTAGCTTCAATTTCAGTAAATGAGTTTGTTTGTAACGTGAAGTAGTTATTGAAATATCAGAGAATTTTCAGTCCTTAGAAAAACTTATCGTTCGCTAAATTCCTGTTGTTACTTTCTTCACAGGATATGACCCCAACGGCGATTACATCTACACCAAGGGTCAGCATTATGGAGCAGAGGAATGGGTTCTAAAGGCTGATGACAAATCCACAGACGGCCTCCGGGCGGTCGTGCTGTTTGCAAATTATGGCAAGAAGTACTTGGCAATCAGGAATGGGAAGCTCACTGGAGTAGCACAGTATTCTCAAGACTGTGTTTGGATTTTGGATTAAGATAAGTTGACGCATCAGTCGACTCGGTCAGCGCTGTTACAAATAATCAATGTGTACGTAGTGACAGTCGAAAGTTGCTAATTGAGAGCCCAGATGCAAATTAAAGGAGTTGTTTACAACAAATGTTAAATAACGTGATTATTTCGTCCCTTTTTGAATAATGCAATCAACCTTTCATGTAAGTACTCCATAAGGACTCAAGATAGTGTTGTCGTAGTTTAAAACCTACTACATTCAGGAGCCCATCACTTGATGGGTTCCTGCTACATTCTACTTTCATCTTCTTCTTGAGACGCAACGTATAACAAGCTCAATGTATTGTGGTAAGAATATGATAACGATTAGTACTGTCAACACCAAGTCTGCCGAGCCTCAGAGGCTGCAGTGTAGATATGAGGTTATTCAGATCGCACTAATGGCATAGCAGGGGGGGCCCTGCTGTGTCCGTTTATCGCCCCCAGGTAATCTTCTACTTAAAAGTCAGCAACACACAAATCCTCAAGTTGGCGAAGACGTGGAATAAGAAGAGGCCAGTTACTTTATTTGCCGGTCTTTCTCTTCTCCTGAATGACCTCCCTCCTCCCCCCGCCCCCCATTTATCAAAATCCTAGCTATACCCCCTGTCACACAAATATTTTCAGTTCCAATCAAGCACACAAGACAATGCCACCATGACACAAATGTTTGTAAAAATTGGGAAACCTCTGTGAAAGGGAAGCAGGCTGGACCAATCTCATGTTTGTATGTAAACAAAATCTAAAGTGACAGACCGCTTACTTATAAGTTTGCTTTGAATAGAAAGCAATTTCTTCTGGCTTTAGGTCTCGCATGTTAGCGATATGAGCAGAAGAGCGGACCACATACCGCTGAACGTAGTCTGGAGCATCGACATGAAGCTTCCACCTGCGGCGGGGGCTTTCATAAACACACCGTTCCGGCGCATTCGTGAGTCCATCGGTAAGTTTGAGCGCGTTTTCTCTCTGGCTATGATCTCTCTCTATGAGCTGTTGCTGAAATTTTTTTGGAGAGAGTAGATTCTCCTCCCCAAGTTTCTGCACAGAAGTATAACATCCCCTTTGCGTTTGCCCCGGATTGTCTTGATCAAATGGTGAGCTTTGTGCAGTAAATGTTTTAAATTCTGATGGTCTGAACAAAGGGTCCTCCATTTCAAAAGGGCAGTTTCCATATGTCGACTTCAAATCCACAAAATATGACTTGCAAACATCTGTGGAGGTTTCTTCGCATGATTCTGGATCCATAGCCATATTTTCCACTGACCTTGTGATTTCTTTCAATTTTTCACCGATGATCTTCAATGGTATGGATGTTTTTCTTCGAATATCTCCTGTTAGACCAACTTGACTTTGCTCTGGGAGTCCTGTATGACCATATTCCCTTCCCAATCCAATTTTGTCTGAAGCAGATAACCGAAGCTGAGGGACATGCACCTTTGCTTCTCTTTCTTTCATGTCTCGCAATAATCGATCCGTATATTTTGTTGTTTTCAAAAGGAATGCTTTCTCGGCTGTCGAGGAGGATAGGTTTTCAATTTCTTTTTTCATTTCTTTGTTTTCAAGTCTCAGTTCTTCAATCTTTTGTATGGCACTTTTTAACTGTTGCTTCAAATCCTCGACCTCTTGGCTCACAGTTTGGGAGAAGAACTCGTTTTCGCTGCCCTTTCGGATGTAATTTTCTGTG